AAATTGGTCCGTCTTCCTACAAATGCACTACGCATACAATCAGCGACTGTTGCCGTAAGCTCACGTCGTCGTCAGACTCCTGCAGGATCAGCGGAGCTGGGCAAAATGCCCTCCAAAACCACACATCTGAGATCATGTGGCTGCCCTCTAATGGCGACCTCGTCAATCTTGGCAAGTACAGCTACCAAGTAGGTTACCGTGCTTCGAAAATGGAGATCTTCGGTGTGGCGGATCGAAACCGCTCTAGCGTCACGGACACTGCTGTAAAGACAGCTGGAGCCCCAGATATCGGTAGTTTGACACGCAGTTACTTAAAGCATTAGGTGACCTATCCTGATCACTCCAGTCACTAACGTTGAGAAAATGCCGAGTTGAGGCGAACACTGATCGATGTCCCAACGCATATGATGGAGCCGTGGCTGGGTTGAATGGAGATCAAGCTGTATGCAACGCTGGCTTACGCGCAGTGCTGCACGCGCATTATGCAATGCTGGGGCACGATGTCCGGTTTTTAGTCCAAAGTGGTACAAGCACAATCCACAATCCTACTGACCAAAAATTGTGTCCCTTCAAATTCTAAGCCCAAACGATGACTTGATTTCACTAAGAACTTCTTTCGTGGTCCACACAATAACCCAATTTGGTCCCACGTCGTGTGGGTACGTCAGACAGAACGACAAGACAGACGCCCAACCGCTCTGACTATCTGGTTGTGCGCCTCATCGGCCCATTTTCACTTCGGCCTCGCAACCGAAAGTACCCCACCCACGCACTCGATTCCTTTCGCTCTCTGTGCGTTCTTGTCAGATCGCGACGAGGATCCAGTGATCGAGTTTGAAGCGTTTTGCGTCCGGGTCTCAGCATTGAACACTTGACACATTGACACGCCGTTAGGACGATGCATTGTGTATTGGTTCGCGTGATCACGGCGGCCTGCCTCGTGATGGCGGCGGTGCACGCACAGGAGAGCACAAGCGGCAGCGGCAGCCTTGACGAAGTTGTGGGTGTCGAACAGCAGCAGCAGCAGGAACAGACCACTACAGTCCCCGCTACGACGGCCCCGACCAGCACGAGCTTCACCAGCTCCTCGCTGGGCCTTGGCTCGCTGTTGTCGAACACTGTGACCGGCACGGTGGACTCGGCTACGGACGTCGTGGACCAGGTGACGGACACGACCACATCGACGGTACAGGACGTGACCAACACAGTCGGATCGACGGTGGACGGCGTGACCAAGACGACAGGCTCAGTCGTGAACGGAGTGACCAACCCGGCAGTGGACGACGTAACTCAGACAGCGACCTCGACGGTCGGCGATGTAGCCAAGACTGCCACTTCGACGGTGGGCGACGTGACCAAGACTGCCACCTCGACTGTAGGCGACGTGACCAAGACAGCCACTTCGACGTTGGGCGATGTAGCCAAGACTGCCACTTCGACGGTGGGCGACGTGACCAAGACGACTGCTTCAACTGTAGGCGATGTGGTTCAGACGGCCGGATCGACGCTTGATGGAGTAACGCAGACGGTAGGCTCCACGGTGGACACTGCGGATGATACGCTCGATAGTGTCGAGGACCAGTTGGGTTCTACTCTCGACGACGTGACTCAAACGGTGGGCTCAACCCTGGACGATGTGACGCAGACTGTTGGCTCTACATTGGACGATGTTACGGATACCGTGGATGACGTTACGGATACTGTTGGCTCGACCTTGGACGATATGCCGTACACGGTCGGCTCGACGCTGGATGATGTTACGCAAACTGATGGCTCGACAGTTAGTGGCATCACGAAAACTTTGGGCTCGACGGTGAACGGAGTTACGCAGACTGTCGGCTCGACGGTTGGTGGAGTTACGCAGACTGTGGACGACGTGGTGGACACTGTGGCCCCTGTCGTAAAGAAGGTGGCCAACACGGCCGGGTCGACTGTCAGCACGGTGGCTAACACCACGTCGAATATCGTCAAGACTGCGGCCCCCGTCGTTAATACTATCGCTAACACGGCAGGATCAACGGTGAACAAGGTGACCGACACTGCGTATAACGTCGTCAAGACTGTGTCCCCAGTCGTCAACAAGGTGACTAACACGGTGGCCAACACGGCCGGCTCGACGGTGAACACGGTGGCCAATACGGCCAAGAATGTGGCCCCAACCGTCAACAAGGTGACTAACACGGTGACCAACACGGCCGGCTCGACGGTGAACACGGTGGCCAATACGGTCAAGAATGTGGCCCCAACCGTCAACGAGGTGACTAACACGGTGACCAACACGGCCGGCTCGACGGTGAACACGGTGGCCAATACGGTCAAGAATGTGGCCCCAACCGTCAACGAGGTGCCTGACACGGTGACCAACACGGCCGGCTCGACGGTGAACACGGTGACTAGTACGGTCAAGAAT